GGGCTTTCTCTTCCCTCTCTTGGTGGTGTCCTTTGATGCACCCTGGTTTTTAATTTTGATCAAGTCCAAGTTCATCTGTTTTTGTTTGTGCTGCTTGTGTGTATGTATCATGTTGAAGAATCCACCGCCAAGTTCAAGGCCATGAAGATGGGCAATGGGAGAGTCAAAGGAGCAATCATGCTGAGGTGGGGGGTGTCTGGCAGCCCTTGGCAGGGGTAAGGGAAAGGCTGCCCTGAGCCTGCCCCCTCCCCACCCGTAACTCCTGCTTCAGGGGTTACGGGTGGGGATGGGGGAAATGGAAGAGGAATTCCAGAACAGGGAACAGCAGGTACAGAGACAGGATGCCAAGAGTGAGTGAAAGACTTGCACAGCTTCTCCCTGCTTTCCCCACCCCTCCCCTCCCCTCCTCCCCTCCTCCCCTCCCTCTTCTCCTCCCCTCCCCTCCTCCTCCTCCCTGACCCTGACCCCTGGGCAACCCTTACCCCTGGACCCTTGGCTCCCCCATGGGCATCAGGGGTGAGGTGGGTGATGTGGCTGCATTTACAAGCTTTCTGGGTCCCCGCTGCAAAATCCAGGGCTGTTATAGACGAAAGGAGATGGGTGGCCAGGCAGGGGGATGGCAGCTGACCTCAGTGCCTGACCTTGCAGGTGAGTAGTGGGGGTTGGGGGGTGGAATCTCAGCCACAAGGGAAGGTTATGTGGGGCGTGAAGAAGGCAGAGAGGCCTCTAGGAGGGAAGGTGACTTCTGAGCAGATCCCCACACGTGAGGGAGCAGGGGCAGGAGCTGGGCAGGTGCAGGTTGAAGGTGTGAAGAGGCTCACCGGTGAGCAGAGAGGAAGTGCGTCAGTACAGAGGGGGGTGGCTGGGGACAGGAGGGCTTGGCCTTCTGGGAGTAAGTAGGGACGTGGGGACGGAAGATAAGGGGCTAGCCTTCACCTCCATCTCCACCCAGGGCAGGCCACCTGGATGAGGGTGTTTGTGGACCGACAGATCTGAGCACTGGGTCCCAGGGGACCGCCTGCACGGGGGTCTCCAGTCCAAGGCCTTGCTCTGCCCTGCAGGCCCAGCTCTCTGTGACTCTTTGCAGGAGGACCTGTAACCTGAGGCCAGCTTCCCTGTGGCCCTGTATTCCTCCCTGGGCACCCATGCCTTCCTAGCTGGTGTGACCCCAAAGGGTGGCCATGGTGGGACTGGCCTGCACCCCTGTGGTGCTCTTCCTGAGTGTCCTGCTCCTTTGCTAACTCATCTTCCCAAACCTGCTCGTCTGAGGTCACTGCCCAGTTTGTAGTTGGCCACCGTCCCCACCATAAAGTTCCAGTTCTTAGCCAGACATCCAAATGACCTGGCTTCCCACTTGGCTACCACCTAATCCTGCACCCAAGGCCAGTGGGGGCTGAAATGCCAATACGCTTCTTTTTTGGTTTTGGGGGTTTTTTTCTTGGGAAGGGAGGTAATTAGGTTTATTTGTTTATTTATTTATTTCACTGTTTTTGTTTTTTAAATGGAGGTACTGGGGATTGAACTTGCTCTACAACTGAGCTACACCCTCCCCCTCTGAACAGGCTTCTGCTCGCCTGGTGGCAGTCAGTGCCCCAGTGCCCCTGCCCCAACCCAGCTCCACACTGGCCCCCAGAAATTGAAGGGTTAACACGAGGCATAGTGGGACAGATCTGACCCTCTTCGGAGCCAAGTTCCCTTCTAATGCCAGTTAGGAGTGCTCTGCTAGACGGTTCTTAAAAGATTTTGTACGCCGTCCCGCTGCCACGCCCTTGCTCACATGGGGTCCCCTGCCTGGGGTGCGCTCTCTGCGTGGAGGCCCAGTCTGCCAGGCGCTGCCTCTAGTTCTATGAGCTCTCTCCAGGGCACTGGGTGCTGCAGAACAGCCCCAGCTCTTTGCGGCCCACAGAGACAGTGACCAAGGGGAAACAGGGCTGCAGAGCTGTGAGCCAAGGTGGTGGGAAGGCCAGTCTCTGCACCAATCCCCAGTCACCAGGGCTCAGAGAGGGAAGATGGGGTTACTGAGATCAGCTCTGCCCACTTCCTGGGGTGCAGCCAGGGGGGAAGGGAGAAGGGATTTGGACTGCTCAGGAGAGGATCTACTCCTTCCTGGGGGTCAGCAGAGGCCATCGCATTTAGTCCACGATGACCCCCTGTCGGGGGGCGTGGCCTTCCCCAGGGGTGAGTGTCAGGCTGGGGGCGGCGGCGGGGAGAAGGCGGCCTGGGTCCCTCCCTCACCTGAGGCCTCTCTGATTCTCCAGGTGCTTCTCTGCGGGCCTCCTTCTCTCCCCGGGGAAGCCTGGGCAGAAACCTGAGCCTCCACCTCAGTTCAGGCTGCCATGGGGCCCTGGCCTCTCCCTCCACCCTCCTTCCTCCTCCAGAGCCACCCTGTCGTTGCCACAGGGACTGCAGAACAGGCAGGTCCTCCACCCACCTGGCCTGCGGTTGGAGGTGTGGCCTTCAGCCACCTGCAGCCTGGGCCCTCCACACCTGGTCAGCTCAGAGCCTGAGCCCTAGAGAGGAGGGTTGAGGTCTGGAGGGGCCCCTGCTGGTTTCGTTTTGAGGCAGTCCCTTCCCCTTCCTCACTCCCACTCCACCCGACCCCCGCTTTCTGGGAAACCCTGTCGCAGCTTCCTCTGAACTGAACTCTGTTAACCCGGAGTCCACTGAGTTCCGCCTCCCAGACCTGAGGCTTCCTGCCTGGCACACACCTCCACCCCTGGGCTGGCTGAGCACACTTCTCCTGATTCCTCACCTTCCAGAAGGTTCTGGGCTGCTCCTGCCTACATCCCCGCCACCCCACGCCACACTGTGTCCCAGGCTCTGGATACAGGAAACCTGGTCGCTTCAAGCAGGGCAGCCCCGGACACAGATGACCGAGGGTCTGACTTCTGCTACTGGCGACCGTGGCCTCCTACACCATTGGATGCGGGGAGGGGTGTGGGCCAAACCAGCTTCCCCCATCACTGCTGATGTGGGGGGGGGCTAGGTGAGGGGTTGAGCAGCATCCCTGGCCCCACCCAGTCAATGCCAGGAGCCCAGTCATGACAACCCCAGATGTCCCCAGACCCTGCCCAGTGTTCCCTGGGTTGAGGGGACAAGACGGTCCCCATTGAGGCCAAGTGGGTATGGCCAGCTGGGAAAGGACAGCACGGAAAGGCTTAGAGCTGTGCTGCCTGACATGCGGCCACTGGCCACATGTGGCCTCGAACACTCAAGATGTGGACCGCAGGAACTGAGATGCTCCCTGAAGGCAAAACATACCGTCTTGCCAAGACTTCGTACCAAAGAACAAAACAAAGCAAAAAACAAACAAAAAATCAAAATCAGAAGACCAGACTAATTTTCCGTATTGATTACAAAGTGAAACGGTAATATTTTGGCAATGTTGGGTCTAATAGAACATACCATCAAACTACCTTCACCTATTTCTTTTTCTTGTTTTGAATGCGGCCTCGAGGAAATTTACATCGTGCCTGCAGCTGAGTGATGCGCGTGCGTGGTGGGGGCACGGGGCAGCGAGACCCGCCTGACTCTGCCTGCTGGTTCCGCACATTTTTCTTTCCATTTCCCCCTGCCCCATCCCTGGAACGTGTGTTACACTCAGAGAAGGGACTGATCTGATCCTGGGTTGCCCGTGACCCTGAGCAAATTAAACAGACTATTTAGCTGGCTCTTACCCGCCAGCTGACGCACTGCTAGCCGGGGCCGGGGGTGCAGGCTGGAGGCACTCTGATGGAGCTGGGCCATCTTTTCAGGATCATCATTTATTCCTCAGTCACCTGTGAGCTGCTCAGGGCTCAGGGAGAGGAACCAGGTGGGGACAGCCTGCTCTCTGGGGACTCAGGGGACAGCACACGTGGTTTTGAAAAGTGCTGTTGAAAATGATGCAAACATGGAGCTGAAGAGAAACTTGCACCTACAAGACACTTGATATCTTCTTCCAAACCAGGTGCCAAAACAAAACGACAACAAAAGCAAAAAACCCAGGAGCAAAGAAAACCCAAAACCCAAAGGTAAGAACACCCATTGGGCAAGATTCCGAAGCTCTCGGATTCATTTTCTGATTGACTTGTCTTTGGACCCAGAGGTCAGAGGAGCACGGGGGGTCTCAGGGCCCCCAACACAGCAGCTGCACCATCTCACACACTTGGCCATCTTGGGGTTTAAGGAACAGCCACGAGAAACCTTGACACAGAACAGGGTCTCTCACAAGAAGCTTGGGAGGGCCTGGAAGCCCCCAGCAGCCTGGCTGCTGGACCCCACATTCTGCCTGGATCCCTGCATGTCAGGAGACCCCCAAACAAACAAATGTTACACATTTTAAGAACCTGCCCCCTCGGAACAGAGGACCTATAGGCTTGCCTGCCTGTGGCCACCCTTGGCCAGACCATGCACCAGGGGAGAAGGGGTGTGGGAGCAGAGGGTGCCAAGTCTAGGGACGTCCACAGGGAGCAGTGGGCAGGGGAGAGAGGAGGACCCCTGGCTGTCAATGTCAGATCTTGGTCTCCAAGACTCTGGAGCGTTCCCAGCTGACTCGGAGAGGGAAGGGAAAGAGCCACGTGTTGACATCTGGCTCTTTTTTGAGGGGCAGTGGGGTCCTGGCGAAGGAACCCAACAGTAGAGGATGCAGACCTGGCCGAGTGGAGCGGGTGGGCTGGGGGTGCCTGGACCCGTCTCTGAGGCCACACTGTGGGAGGTGCCTGCTTTTGAACCATCCCCCCACCTCCCTCACCAACCCTGGAGGCCTTACCCACTGGCCCCAAACTCCACACTGCTAGGACCCTGTCAGTGCGGCCTTCCTCCTTGCAAATGGGAGCCAGCTGTTGGCAGGAGCTGGTCAAGCCCAGGGCCTGATGGGTACAGGACTGGCCCTAAGGCGCACCTGTCTGACCGCCAGCGCCAGCACCATGGGCCAAGACGCTGAGCCGCAGTTCACCCGTTAGGCCTTCCTCCACTGAAGCTCCTGAGGGACCTGGGGGGCCCACAGAGTGACACCTCCATTGCTTTGAGTTATCTTTTTTATTCTTTTCTAAATCAGGTGAGACTTCGGCGGGGGTAACTCAAAAGGCAGAAGCCTGGAGAGCCGGTCTAAGGAGCCGCCAGCTTGTCTCCTCTTTGGTGACCACAGAAAAAAAAACAGATTGGAAGGGTCTCCCTAAGAAGCAAAGGATCCAACCCCAGGGCCGGTGTGGCGCCAGGCCCGTCACTCTCGGAGAACCCTTCCCCTGCAATTTATCACAGTTAAGTATCAGCTTCTTTCACGCCTTCAGGAAGTATTGGGGAGAGGGGAGGCTCACAGCTCATCTTCAGAGAGCCCTGCCCTCCACCACTTCCTACTGCCCTTGGCCTGGAGGCGGCCTTCTCCATCAGAGGTGGGACAGCCCTAAAGGTGGGAAGGTTGGGCTCTGGGTCTCGGGCAACCTGCAGACCACAGCAGGGGGCCTGGCTGGACACCCCGAAAGACACCGGGAGCTAGGACCTCACCCCCGCCGTCTCGTTTCCAACTAGCTGCAGCTGAACAGTTCAAAGCCCAAGAGTGACGTGCCCCGGGTGGTCACTTCTGATTTGCTGGGCGCTGGAGGTGACAGCAAGCCACCCGCCCACATCTGTCGGCCTGCAGGCGTGGGGGAGCAGGTCTTATCTACAGGATCTGCTGGGGTTTCCAACCGCACCGACAGCTTGGAAACCCAGCACTTCCTTTCTGCTGAGTGAGTGTCGGCTCCTGCTGCCGCGAGCTGTCAGAAGTCTCTGTTCCACGAAGCATGGGTGAGGATGAGAGAGCCCCTCTGGGGGGCAGGCCATGCTCTGCTGAGGATGGGCTGCGGGACCAGAGGCAGGAGTGGCCGGAGGTGGGTGGAGGGAAGGGGACCCCGTGACAGCCATCAGGCTGACTGCTCTCTGGGAGGTGGTGCCTGGAGGACCACCTCACAGGGGCAGGTGTCAGGCCAGGGGGACACTTGAAACCTCGGGCAGCAACCCCCCTTCTGGTGAAAGGTGCCAACGCTGGGGTCCCTCCGAGGCTTCACCCCTTGGAAAGGAGCAAAGCCAGCTCCCAGTGGCTCCCCATCTCTCGGGGGTCAGGGCCACCCTTGCGGGAGGGCCCGCCCTAGGCTGGCCAGGGCTGACGCCCAAAGGACGAGGAACAAGAAGCACAAGGGGCACGTTTGCTTTTTCTTTCCTGGTTTTGTTTTGGTTTTTTCTTTAAACCTAAGGAAGCAGGTTCCGAGAAGACGGCACGACGGTGGCGCCCTTCCCAACGCGCGTGGGTCTCCACGGAGGGCGCGGCGGGAGGGGGCGGGAGAGGAGGAGCCGGTCCTGCGGCGGGACCGTCACACGGCAGCACTGCGCGTGGGCGTGCTGGGCTGGTTCAGCCGCAATGTTTTACACAACCAGCCGGCGAAATCCACTTCTTCTACCTCCGACCGTTTGATGAAGGCATGGTTCTGAAAGGGAAGGAATGGCGTGAGCAGCCTGGCCCTGGCCGGACGTCCAGGCCCCCGGCCCAGGGCACGTGCAGGACCGGGGAGGGGAACCAAACCCAGAGCGGGGAGGCCCCAGGCCCCCCAGCCTGGGACAGGGTCTCAGGTGAGGGGGAAGCTGCTCTGTGCCCCCTGGAGCTCAGGGCCTCCCCTGTCCCTGACAGCCCGCACTTCTGACACCAGGGCCGGTCTCTGCAGGGCCGTCCCGGGCACCGTGGGGTGTGAAGCAGCCTCCCTGGCCCCACCCAGACAATGCCAGGAGCAACCCCAGTTGTGACAACCGCAGATGTCCCCAGACATGGCCCAGTGTCTCCTGGGAGCAGTCACCTGGGTGAGAGCATCTGATCTGAACGGAACTCTGTGAGGACAGTAAGCTCCCTGTATGTCCCGTCCAGGGCGGGCAGCCACCGGGGCCATGAGGCTCCTGAGCCCTTCAAATAGGGCTCATGTGGCTGGAGAGCAGAACCTCGTGCTCTCCATCAGCATAGGTAACTTAAATAGCCACCCTGGTAGCGGTTCCCGAACAGGATGGCTCAGTGCCAGAGGCTCCTGGTTTGCAAGGCCAGGACCATCGCCTCTTATGCCAGCTGGGAGCGGGCGAGACCACCCTCAGTCTTCCCAAGGTGGGGGCGGGCCTGGTGAAAAGCCAAGCCAAGGGAAGAGGATTCCTGTGGTCCGGGCGGCGAGCTCAGCCTCACACGCACGCAGCGTTACTCGGGAAGGGGCCTGGAAGCCCTCTGCGCCCCGCGAGCTGCGCAGAGCCGGGGGCGGGGGGTGGCACCATGGGGGGGTTCCGACTCCTCTGCTTCGGGGATTTGCATATTCTGCAACAAAGACATTTCTTATATCGTGTGTTCCTTGAAGTCACCAGACTCAATAAGGAGATTCTAGAAGCAGGTGGCTGCAGACCCAGTCCCACAAGGCGCTCCAGGCCAGGCTGGCTCTTTGGACCACAGCAGACTGACTGCCACCGGGACACACAGCCTGTAGCCACAGCTAACTGAGAGCAGGCTTAGACAGGGTGCCTTCCTGGAGGAGGCAAGGAAGCGGAGGCCCAGAGGCAGCGAGAGAGAGCAGCAGGACACACCCCGAGGGGGAAGGAGCACCCTGTGCCGATGCCTGCGGTGGGGGGGGGGCTCGGGGAGGACCTGTGGGGGGACGTGCGGGAAGGCAAGGAGCCTGGCCCTGCAGGGCAGCAGGCAGAGGCCCGGGGCCCACCGCAGGGCGTGGCTCGGTTATTTAAGGTACCACATCGCAACTACCCTAAGAGGCTCCCTCTCTCCCACGTGGACAGCTGAGACTGAGAATCCATGTCTTACACTTGTAACTGGCAGTGTTTTCTCTCTCCGGGACACGAGAAATAAATAAGGGGCTGCCTGGCATCGGGGGCGACTCAGGTGGGCAGACCTGGTGGCACAGGAAGAAGGCCTGGCGTCCACTGCTGCCGTGGGCGCAAGGCACTGCGACAGGCAGCCCTGCTGGGGGAAGGCGGCTTTCGTTGACCACCTTTGTTTTCAAGGATATTGAATAGTGTGGGTTTAGAGGAAGGCAGACACCCCCATGGTGTCAACGACGCCTTGGAGCCCAGTCATTCAGTCATGCGTCCCAGGCCATGTGGGCCCCTCTATTCCCCCGCAGCCACTCCCCATGTCTCCCTCCGACGAACCCAGGAGACCCACGGGGGCCCTCCAGTTGGCCAAGCTCCCCATGCTCCCTGCAATACGCTTGCTTGGGGCAAGGACAGCCTGCCAGGGGCCCATCTCCCCACAAGGAGGAAGAGGCCCTGGGCACAGCCTGTGACCCCAAAACCTGCGTGCCTCACTTACCATGAGCATCTTCAGATCCGCTCGCTCTGCTGGGTTCTTAATTAGGCTGCAGGTTCCAGGAGGCGGGAGAAGACAGAGGGTGGGGAGACAAGACAGGCGGGCAGTCAGTGGCCGTCGGGGAGCCCTGGGACCAGGCAGCCCCTGCCCTAGCCAGTCACCACCCTTTGCTGCCTGGCTCCTGTGGTGGGGGGCCCCACCATGCTCTTGGGTGTAAGAACAGGAGGCCCCGGGAGGGAAGAGCAGAAGTCTCAACCCAGGACAAGAGGGAAAGAGGGTGGGAAACCCCTCGAGGCTTCTGGGTTGGAGGCCCAGCAGCAACCAAGGCTGCATTTCTAATAAAAACCCCAAGTTTGGGAGTCCAAATGTCAAAATGGAACTTTTTCCTTCAGAAAAGCAGAACTGTCTAAAGGCAGCTGCTCTAAGTAGCTCGGGGTGGTGTGGCAGCTCTTCAAACACAGGCCTCACAGGCATAGGGACGTTTACGGGGCGGGGGGGTGGCCGCACCCCAGGGAGCTAGGCCGTCCAGCGGCTGTGCCCGGGGCTGGCCGTGCTGGCGTCCTGACACGCGGGGCAGCGGGGCGGCCCTCCCTCCAGGCCGCAGCCCACCTGCGAGGTACTCCTCGGCCTCCAGAGGGTGGAGGGGCTGGGACAGCCCAGAAGCCAGCTGGGAAGGCGTGCTTGGGGGCTGCAGGGCCCTGGGCTTGCGGGATTAGGAAACTGAGGCACCTGACGGCAGGAGCTGAGGTGGGAATAGTATCACTTCCAAAGAGCCTGGACTCCTGGTTCACTCCAGGCAGGGACACTAGGGGATGGCAGCTGGACACCATGACTCAGCAGCCTCGGGAAGGGAACCTGGGCTCTCAGGTGAGCTCTGCGTCCCGCCAGACACTGCCACCGGCCTGGCATCCCTGACAGCCCGGGACCAGGAAGCAGGCAGTCTGGCCCCCTCCCTACCCACCCCAGGCTGGGGGCTGTGGTAGCTCACCATTTATTTACAAACTCCTGGAAGTCCTGGGTGAAAACGCCGCTGGGCAGCTTGGGAGGAGGCTGTGGGACAGAACAGACAGGTGGGTGTCAGATGCTCAAGGATGATTCTGGAATCAGGGGAAGAGACGCTTCCCAGCCCTGCGGGAGTGGGGACAGCTTGGCACTTTCCAGGCGCCCTCGGATGCACTTCTCCTGGCCCTGAGCCTTTACTGTCCTGGGGGCAGCCCACTGCAGGCGGACAGAGAGCACCCACCCCCAGGCTCCTCCAGCGGCTTCCCAGGCAGCCAGCTGGGTTGGGCTCTTCCCAGATTTTCTCTCAAGAGCTCTTGTTTGGGGATCACAGCTGGTTCTAGAAGGAAGAAGGACAGGGCTCATCCTCATTTTACGGACGAGAGTGGTTACTCTTGACCACAGGTCATTCTGTCTCGGCCACCCCGCTCTGGGGGTGTCTTGGAATGAGCTGAGGGTCTAGACCTCAGGGAGGCAAGTGAGCTCCAGGGGCTTGGGCCCCAAAACAGGGGGAGTCTGAGGGGTCTGTCCTGGCACAAGTCTGGGTGTGCAGACAGCGGTGTGCAGGGTCAGGCCCCGTCTGGAGGGGGTACTCGCTGGGCCTGGGTGTCACTGCTGTGTCACCAGAGCCACCTGCCCTGTTCCACCACCACTGACTGGGCCCTAAGCTGCTCACCTCAAGACCCAACCCTGGGCCAAGCCCGGCCACCCCAACTGCAAAGGGCCACTGGAAACACACTTCAGTCAGAGAAGGCCCAGGGAGGGTGACCCGGAGGGCCATGGGGTCAGGCCTCACTCAGCCCCTTCCCAGCTGCAGGCCTTATGCCTGGATTCACCCATCTGCACAATGAGAGTATTCGTGCTGCCCTCTCCCAGGGTGGGGAGGGGCTGGGTGCGCGCTCGGGCCTCCTTCCCAGAGATGGGGGGACTGGGGGGTGGGGAAAGGGACGCTGAACTTTCCCCGAGGAAGGGGGAATGATTTAGGACTTCACGCACAGATGTCAAGATGCTCAGAGAAGGAGCTGCTGGTGACAAGAGCTGCAGGGAGGGGCCGGGCTCCTGGGCTCAGGGTGGGAACTCTGGGTTCACCTCTATGAAAACAAACAAAAAGGAGTCCTTTGGGGAGGGTGGGCTTGTGCAGGGTGGGGGGAGTGAGGCCATCACCTTTATGCCTCATAACCTCCTGACAACCACAGCTGGTCTCCATCTCTCCCCACAGCCCCTCCCCAAAAGAACCCGGTCTACGTGTCCAGCTCCCTTTTTTCCAACAGGAACGGCTTAATCCCGCTGGCCCGAAGGCCCGCCAGGGCCCCAGGCACACACCTCATTCACGATGTAGTCCAGCAGCTCGAAGATAGCCATGGCCGGCCGGCTGTCCACCCCATGACCTGCCCAGGGCAGAGACAAAGACGGGTGAGATGGGCAGGTGGCCGCTGCACTTCTGTCGGGCATCAAGGTCCGAGTGCGCTGAACACAGCCGAGCGCCTCCTCCCCACCCGGCTGGAACCAGAGGCGTGGTGCCCCAGCCTGGCTGCCTGGCGACTGAGCTTGCCTTCCTGGGAAAGTCACTTCTCTCCTGAGCCTCCGGTGAATTACAAAACAAACAGCAAAATGAACAGGAATGTTTTTTTGAGAAGTCACAGGTCTGGCACAGTGCCAAGTCTGTGCTGTACCAAAGTCAAACCCCTGCCCCCTGGTGCCGGTGGGGCGTGGGGGGGCCGGGCAGGCAAAGGCGGCAGTGTGACCTTGTGTGGACCTGCGGGTGGAGACGGCCGTGGGCCTGAGGGCCGCTCACGACGGTGGCCGGCTGCATGGCTGACCCCTGTCCTAGACCCAGCTGGCCAGGCCCGCGTTTGGCAGCTGGACTTTCGCCTTCTGTCCCCAGTCCTGAAATGGGCACTCGGGCTGGGGCCGGGGCTGGGGGAGGTGCTGGCAGGCCGAGTGGCTTGGCACAGCCCACCACTCCTCCCTGCCTGGAAGGCCCAGACACCATCTGGGAGTCGGGCTGGGAGGGCGGGGCCGGGGCCTGAGGACACAGATGCAGGGATGGGGGTTCTCCCCTCGGAGGAAATCCAGACACCTCAGCCGTCTGGGTGTGGCACCAGGAAAGGGGAAGGTCTGGGCTTGAAAATACTGTGACAACCACCATCTAAAGACCCAAGTGTCCATCAACAGTGAATAGGTACACAAAAACCACCCACACAGTGGAATACTACGCAACCATAAAAAGGAACAAGGCACCAACACTTGGCACAGCGTGGACAGACCCTGAGAACACAAGGCTCAGTGAGAGAACCAGACAAAAGAGGCCACACTGTGTGACGCCACTGACGTGAAACGTCCAGAACAGGCCAGTCCACAGAGACACAGAAGGGGCTCCTGGCTGTCAGGGGCTGGGGGGGACAGGGTTTCCTTTTGGGGTGATGGAATGTTCTGGAATCATATAAAGGTGGTGGTCAGACAACCTTATGAAGATATAAAAATCTGCTGAATTGCATGCCTGAAAAGAGTGGGTCACGAGGTAGGTGAATTCTACCTCAATAAAGCTGAGAAATCAACTGATCAACTGCAGCCCAAGGCCTGGTCCTCTGGACCCTCACTTAATTCAACTCTCTTCCTGCCACTTGACTTAAAGAAAAAAAATCACAGAGCCCTAAGCGCTGCTTCCTAGTTAGACCACCTGAGCCGGGACCCCGAGCCGGGACCCTTCCCCTCGCCAGCCCCCAGCGTGGTGGAAGTACCAGCCTGAACTTCACAGCACAGGTGGTGGCTCTAGGTACCAAGGGTCCTCTGGGGGGCCCTGCCGGCCCTCCGTCCCCACCCACCCCCGCTGTGTGTCGGGGCTTCATCCAACAAGCCACCCAAGGAGGTCCTGGCCCAACACAGCAGACGCAGCACCGCAGAGCCCAGGTGGTGGGCACAATGGTGCTTGCTGGGCAACCCTTTCGGCTTTTCTGCACCCTTGAACGCTTTCGTGATAAAATGCTGGAAAAACCGCCCACCCCGCGCGCGACTTGGCTGAGGAGAGTTTCTGGACCCCGCCAGCTTGCAGCAACAGGTGCAGCTGCCCCGGACGGGACAGTTTGAGGCACTGCTTGCAGAGCTGTCCCCAGAAGCCTCAGGACCATCTGAGGACTGCTGACCGCAGTGAGCATGACCCAGGGGGACAGGTGGCGCTGAGAGAGGCCACAGGGGAGGCAGCTGCCATCCCCGGGCGCCGCGTGCCCTGTCCAAGCCGGAAGTCCCAGGCTCGGGCCCTACCGCTGATGGGGCGTCCGGGGGGTCTCGGCCGTGGTGAGATGCCGTGAGGCTCTCCTTCTGCACCGTCGACCATGGGCCGGCCAAATATCGCCTCCAGCTCCTTGGCGTCTGGCGGGGGGATGGGGTACCTTCCAACGGACAGCTCCACCAGGGACAGGCCCATGCTCCAGATGTCCGACTGCACCGAGTAGTGAGTGCCTTGCAGCCGCTCTGGCTGTGGGCGAGACAGGGAGGTGGAGGGGGCTGGTGCATGCGGGGTAGGGGCTGGCACCCTAGAGTGTCTCCCTGGTTCCCCTGCAGCCCCATCATGCCCTGTCATCCCTCTGGAGACCAAGTAACAGGAAGAAAGCAATTCTGTCTCCTCCCTCCACCTGCTTCCAGCTGTGCTGATGGTGTCTCCTTAGAGACCCACAACCCACAGGTTGTTGTCTCTGCTCCTGGAGAAAGACCAGCCCAGGAAAGACAGCTGTTAAGCAGACTCCCGCCAGACTCACCGACATGTAGGACCGCGTGCCCACGAAGGAGTTGGCCATGGAGTCGATGAGCTGCCCGCTAACCCCAAAATCGCACAGCTTGATCTCCCCTCTGGAGTTGACGAGGATGTTTGATGGCTTCACGTCTGGGAGGAGAGCTGGCGGTGAGGATGCCCCGGGCCACCCGCCAGCCCCACCGGGCCCCAGAGGCGCCCAGCCCTTACCTCGGTGCATGATCTGGTGCTTTTCCCGGAGATACGCCAGGCCCCGCAGAACCTGCAGGGAAGCCGCAGGGCGGTGCTGTGTGGGGGACTGTCCTCTGGACAGGCCCTCAGGCCAGACTGCAGGGGCCATGTGATGGTGATGACATCCACACAGGCACCCACCTCACTGACTCATATGACTCCCTGCCCGGAAAGCAGACACTGCTCCTCTCGTGAGGCCCGTGAGAGCTGGGACAAGGCCTGAGGCCCCGTTAGTGGGGCTTTGAGTGTCCAGGCAACTGCCCCACCTCGGAGGTCACCCCTGTTGAGCACTTTGGTGCTGAGACAGTGCTCAGGCCCCAGGCCGATGGGGTGAAGGACGCAGTGGCCATTTCACCACGTCAGAGAGGAGACACTCCATGATGACAGCACGGAGGGACACTGTGTGCCTGGGACCAGGCCCCCAGCATCTCCAGCAACCCATCTGGATGGGGCAGGGGAGCATCATCCCCATCATACAGGGCAAAGGGACACCACCAGCTCAGTGCCACAGCTGGTGGAGACTGGCACCAGAGGCCATCTTCGCAGGGGGCCACTCTGGTGCCTACTACTGGCTCCCAGGAGCTCCTCGACCCTGGCCGCGTGGCATGGGGGCAGGAGTAAGAATGAGTGGGCGAGAGCGTGCAGCCAGGAGCGCACACCCGCACACTTACCGCGATGCTGACCTTCCCCAGGATCTCTTCCGGAATTCTCTTGGCTTCTTTCAACACCTGGTCCAGGGAGCCACCATCCTAGGGGCAGCACAGAAGAGAGAGGAAAGCAACTCCGAGCCATCGCCAGGCAGGGCTGGCAGTACAGAGACAGGTCCCCAGGGGGATGCCAGGGCAGCAGGTGTAAGAACGGAGCATTTCCCTGTTTCCCAGTGAGCTGGTGCCCAACTTCCTCCACAGGAAGCAGAGACCAGACCACAGCCAAAGGCAGCCCATCGGCCAAAAGCAGGGACTCCGGCAGCCCCTGCTGCCTCCAGGGCCTCAGGAAGCGGAAAGGGTGCCAGCACGCTCCCCAGGCGGCTTGTCCTTCCCGGAACTGAGGCCCACAGCTGGATGGCGTGACTCAGCCTTCCCGAGGTTGCCACGGCAGCGGCGGGCGGAGCAGAGCCACGGAGGCCAGAGCTCCACGAGGCCTGTGGCCGAGCCACCCACTCTGGGGCCTGGGTCTCCTCCGCAAGCTGGGTGCAGCCGTGGGAAGTGGAGGAAGAACCCAGAGGCAAGGCCCGTAACTGCCCAGTGCAGAAGGAAGGCCAAGTCGACTGACCCCTCCACTGCTCCCCCGCCCAAGCCCCCAGCTCCATCAGGAAGGCTGATGGCGGAGGGGCACGGAGGAGGAGGAGGAGGAGGATGGATGGCTCCGTCCCTCTCCTGCAGGCCTAGCCCCTGCTCACCGCCCTGTGTGTGGGATGTCCTGCAAAGCACCTGACACAGGTGACTGCAGTCCATCCCCCAACCTGGGCGTGGCCCCAAATTCACATGGTTAACGAGGAAATGGCAGAAATCAAGTGTCTTGCGCAAGGTCTCCTGGCAGCACTTGGAGACTGAAACCCAGGGCGTCGCCAACAGGCCAAAGGCGCTTCTTCAGAGGGGGCTCCAAGGGCCCCAGGTCACTGGGCGGATTGGAGCTGAGGCTCGAGGGGCGCAGTGGGGATGTGGCCAGAACCCGCGCTCGTGGCCAGGTGGCCCGTGCTTTCTCTTGGGCATTGTTCTAGGGCTCCCGTGGCCACCAGCTGCCTCTTGCTTCACTTGGGGGAGGGGGAGAAGCCTGGGTGCCCGCTCCCTGGTACCCTGCCCCAGCTGTGCTCGGTAAGGAGGGTATGGTGGGAGTTCTGGAAAACCCAAGGCACTCTGAAGCTTCAGGATCCTGTGTGCGACACTGTCAGCTAGCGCCAGACTGAGGGTGGGGGCCGAGTGCAGGCAGACGGTGAGGGTGGCTGAGGAGGAACCCAGGCGACCGGCATTCTGCCCAGCCTAGGCCTGTCTCACATGGGGGGAATTCCTTTTATTCTTCTCATTTTTTGTTTTAGCGACCTTAAAATTTTTTCTTTAAAGTTAGTGATCTCTGCTCCCTAACACAGTCCCTTTCATTCTTAATTTTCTGTAGAGCTGTCATTTGTTTGCTGGATGAGGATGCTCAGGGTGAGCATCCACGGAGAGGCTATGGTGGCCCAGGCCCCGTGCCAGGGTCTCAAGTCAACTCAAAACAGCCCCGTGACGCAGACAGCACTGTTCTCCACAGCAGAATCCCCAGGGAACTGGGACACGGGGTGGGTCACTCTGGCAAACGGGGGAGAGTGTACTGCATGTTGTGTGGGTGTAAAGCAGCATGTCTGGCCCCCATCCGCGTCTCCCTAGTTGCAACAACACAAATGTCCCAGACGTCGCCCAGTGGAGAAATCCCTGGTCCACAGCTAAGAAGACACATGGACAGGATGTGGCGCGGGGGCATCACAGCTGGGTCTCTCTGAGCCCAGATCTCACTCCTCACGCACGACCACACGCTTTCATTGTGTGTGTGTGTGTGTCTCCTAAACATCTTTGAAACCACACTTGCATTAAGCAGGGAGTCTACAAATACCTTTCTCTTATAAAAATTCAAATGCAGATAAATTACACTCTGATCTCCAACAATTTCACTTGCCTCCCCTGAAGTGTGACTTAGACTCTTCCAGCCCCTTCTGTGCACACACAGAGAAACACAGAGTTCTAAACCTGTCTGCCTGCCTATCTATGTGTCCATCCATCTAGATCAGTCGCTGGGCTCGGATCACGCGTACCCCTCTCTGGGGGCTTCTCGCTTGGGGCGTGCACACTGGCTCCACGTCTCCACCGGGAAGCAGCCCGCGCCGCTCCACCTGCCCCTGACTGACAGACGTGTCAGACTTCTCACCATCACATCCTTCCACAGGTTTGATGAGTGCCCAAGAAATACCAAGAGGTGCCTCTGAGCGGTCAGTCAGCTGCTCCCTGGCCGCTCTGGCCCCCAAACACCCACTGTCTTCTGGCCCACACCCCAAGTTTTCTGGGTGATAGGTCTAGGCGCTGGGAGGCCACCGCCTTGCTGTTTCACGTGCTGGCCAGGCGAGCTTCACCTTCTGGGCCAGATCCGGGCTGCTCAGCCCCAGTCAGGGGGCTTTTCTCACAAGCTGGACCTGGAATTTACCTGGTCGGAAACTAGAACCAATTCTCACAAGATCCTGAGTAGAGAGGAAACCTAACCCTCAACAGGGACGGCTTGACCAAGCCAGAGGCCGAGCAGGCGGGATGTCACGATGGCAGAAACTGAGAAACGGAGGTGATACAGAAACACGGGGAAATGGCTGAGGCAACAATGCCACAGCCGATTTTCCCGAAGCTCACACACGCACGGACCAGCCTGTCTATTCCTCAGCCCCCTGGCCTGGCGGGCAAGGTGTGAGACGCGGCCCGAGTCCTGCAGTAAGACCGCGGTGGGGACTGCAGGGCGCCCGCTCGCTGCCGCGCAAGGTGACTCCACGAGGAACCAGCAGACACGAGGATCCCAGCAGGAGTGGCAAGGGTCCTCTCACCGCTTCATCATTTTGTCTTCCCTGCGCCTTCCTCGCCCAGAGCGCCCCCTCTTCCAGCTCACCTCTGTGGGCTGTAACCCCCGCCAGCAGAAAGCAGGGAGTTCAGACCACGCCCGAGGGTGTCTCTGCATCTGTGGCACCTACACCTCTACCGTCCTCACGTGCTCGCTACAAAAGCGAACCAGAGGAGTCCGACCAGGAGGTTTAAAGGCTGAGCGTGACTAGCGCAGAGCCTCGCACGTGCCCCTGCAGCCCGGCAGCTGGGTCAGCGAGCTGCCGAGGCGCAGACACCTCGCCCCACAACCGACGCTTCACACCCACCCAGACCCGGGGGGGTGGATGCTGACCTGCTTTTCTGCAAGGGAAAGAGACTCCGAACTCAGGGTATTTGGGGAGGATGGGTGGGGGTGGCGGGAGTGCTGGGGAGGAAGAGGAGGAGGGGGGAGGGGGAGAGAGAGGAGGGGGAGGGACAATCTACAGTACATACCTGGCTCCCCTCAGACCACACTGACTTCACGTCCTTTCCCCGCCCGATTCTGTCTGCACAGTGGCTGCCAGGGGGGGTGGGCAGATCTGGCCGCCCTCTCCCAGGTGAGGAAGGGGCTCTGCCAGGACAGGCGGGGGAGCCCCTTCCCGGGGGCACTCCCCTCCCTGCAGGCGCTTACTCAAATTCATTTCCTGCCTCTGTTACAAAACTGTCAGAGGGGACAGCGCACTCGAGGCGTAACCGAAGCTGCCTGCCTAAAGCCACGTGGCATCCTGGTTTTGCAAGGCCCCCGAGGGCTGGGGCCAGACAGCCGAGGGCGGACAGGGCCCTACCTGGCGGACGCTGGGTGGAGGAGGGCCGGAGGTGTTTCCTCCGGGGGCCTTCAGCTCTGACCACTTCTGCTTTCGATACACCCAATCCCACCCATTTCTGAGCCTCGAGACCAGAGTTCCTCAACAAGGGGGCACAACAGAATCGACCGTGGTTTAAAAAAATCACCTGCCACCGCAGAGGTCTGATCCCACAGGCCTCCAGCCCACCGCCCTCTCACTGGGGGCCTCGTGGGAGTGAGAGACAAGGCTCCCCCTGCACACCACTGCAGGCCTCAGTGCTCACACAGCCTGCTTGGGTGCAAGGACTCTCGGAGCAGCATTACTTGTGACATGGCGGGGACTGGGAGCAGCCTCAGCGTGCTTAGCACATTACCTGCCAGCTACCTGTGGATGCCAGGAGGCTGGATGGTGGGAAAAAGCAAAACTGTCAGGAAGGTGGGGTGGGTACAGCTCAGTGGTAGCACGGGCTTAGCATGCACGAGGTACTGGATTCAATCCCCAGTACCTCCATTAAAACCAAAAAATATTAGGAGGACAGTGTCTGGTATCCAATAAAACAAAGGCATCTATACAAGCATACGGCTGTACTGCATCCACCATCTCCACACGGGTCCCCTTGGAAATAGGATGGGGGCCTTGAGGGTCTCAGGCAAGGGGACGTCTGTTCCTCAACCTGTGTGAACTCTGCCGGGTGACTGGGGGACACTGATGCGGCTCCGGGGTTGGGGGTGCTCACCATGTGCTCCATGCAGATGCTGATCTCCCCGTCGCTGTAGAAGGCCCCGTAGAAGCCCACGATGTATGGGGAGTTGCATTCGTGCAGCACCTGCAGCTCGCGGATGATCTGGTTCCGGATGGCCGGCTTGATCTCCAGGTGGATCAGCTGCAGGGGAGAAGAAAGCAGGTTCAGGGCCAAGCCGCCTTCTAAGGGGAGCCGGGAAGCAGCGGGTATCCATCAACCCATGAGAACTGAGAACACACAGCCACAGACAGACTCAAACGTGAATGTTCGCAGCAATGTGAGTCACAACAGCTGAAAAGCAGAAGCAGCCCAAGTGTCCTGAGTCAGCTGAAGAAGGGACAGACACACGTGTCCCTCCACACGCGTGACATCAGTCACGGAAAGGAGAGCAGCCCTGACATTCGCTGCCACGGGGACCAACCCTGAGAGCACGGTGCTGAGTGAGAGAAGCAGACACAGGAGGACACACAGTGTGTGAGTCCGTGGATGTGAGGCGTCCAGAACAGGCCAGTCCCCAGACACAGAGAGGGGGCTCCTGGCTGTCAGGGGCTGGGGGACGGCGGAGTGACAGCTAAACGGGCTGGCGCGTATTTCTGGGGTGATGGAATGTTCTAAGACTAAGGTGGTGATGGGTGCATGGCATTGTGAAAATATACTAAAAGTCACTGAGTGAAATGCTCTACAAGGGTAAATTACGTGGTATGTAAATTACATCCCAATGAAGCTGTTTTCAGAAGAATGTCATAGGAGGCAACATTTTTCACTTGGTTATGGGGGGAGTTGTTTAAGAGTTTTCTTCCCACCAAATCACGCAAAGTGCCAGCCTCTCCCAGGAGCAGGCGGGGTGACGCCCTGTCAGACAGGGCGACTATGTCACTTCTGCCCCCAGCCCCACCAGCAGTGGGCTTTCAGGGCCCTTCATCCCTCCAGCCTGGAGACAATACAGAGAGAGCTGCCACCTGCCACCTGCCACCCTAGGATCCCAGCTCCTCTTCTACCCGAGTTCCAGTTGGCAGAGGGGACTGTCACCAAATTCATCACAACGTGTGGAAAGGTGAGAAACAGAAAGGATGGCCCAGAGAGACACGGAAAAGACAGCTGACAAAAGGCCAAGAGCAGTGTCCAACTCCAAACCCTGCGCAAGCCAAGACCCACCGCCCAGCGGGAGAGAGCCGCGGCTGTGGGTCCCTGTCTTAGCGCCTCAGGATCCTAGACGCGCCAGCCATCGTGACAAGGCAAGAAAAAGGTGTGATTTCCATCCCTTTGTCAGAGAGGCGGAGCCAGATCCCTGGTATCTGAAAATGACGGATACCAATTCAACAGACATTTCTGCAGAGTGGGTTATATGTGGGGCCGATGACGGGGAGAAAGATACAAAGGTGGCTCTGCTTGGAGGAGACCTGCCATCAGGGGAAGAGAAGGGGCCAAAACAACCCCGGTATGGCGGAGGTGCCAACAGGGTGACTCAGGGCATGGTGATACTGAGGCCAGGCCTCCAAGGACAGGTACAAAGAGGCCAGGTGGACAAGGTGGGGCAGGCGCTGGAGGCAGAAGGACAAAGAGCTGCCTGCTGGAGGGGCGTGTGCTCAGTTCAGGGGGGCACAGGGTAGCACGACCTGCTCACTGGCCCACATCGATGACCATCAAAACCTTGAGAGCTGTGGCAGATCTGGGTGAAACCATGCCTGGTGCCCTTGCCGGCCGCAGGCAAAGCCTCAGCCCTCACTTGAAGGGTCCCCACTGACCCAACCTGCAGAGCCCAGCTCTGGCCATGGGCCTGGGACACTGCACTTCCCCCTCGGGCTCCCCCAGTGGGAAGGTGGGTCACATCAGAACTCCAGTGGCCACACCAGGGAGGGGACGCCCAGTACGTGCGTGCAGACACGCCTGGAAAAGGCGGGATGCGGGTCTGAGAGCGAAGTGCTGGTGTCTGTGTGCAGTGCGGCAGGCTCACCCGGGAGCTGCGAAGTCAGCACCAGCGCCGCCCGGCAGAAACACGGCGTGAGCCACTAACCGAACTTTGAATCCTCCAGCTATTGCGTTAAGAGTGCAAAGAGACAGGCGAAACAAATCTTCCTGTTTTGTTTAACTCAGTGAAATGCATCAAAAATTTACTGTTTTGACATGAGATCAAGGGAAAGATATTAATGAGTTTTTTCACATGGAGCACCAGAAACCTGGTGTTTCTGCACGTACAGCACAGCCCCGGTTCACCCTGACCGTGTTCTGAGTGCTCAGCACCCGCGTCTGACCAGGGGCTTCCTCACGGATGGTGCTGCTCTCTGCCAAGAACTTCAAGGAAGCCGCAGGTGAATGACTGGGGCGGGGGTTGGGGGAGACAGAAGGGGTGGACAAGACTGGGACGAACTGGACGAATCTCACAGGTCCCGGGAGCCTGGAGTTGGGGCCTTAATATGAAATAAAGCCAAAGGAAGTCAGGGGCTTTCGAGAAAGATCCAGTGAAGAGAGGACACAGGGGTGGCTGCTATGTGAACACAGCTTTGGTGGATATTGTAACTGGCGTGTGTAAAGCGAACCTTCCAGATTGACTAGGAACCACTGATGAGGGTGTGCGGAGAAAAAGCAGGAATGGGACGAGGGCCATGTTTCTGAGCACAAATGCTTGCAATCTGCCCTGGCCCTGGGGGGAAGGCAGGCAAGGAGGACTGCCCCACTGCACCGGCAGGTTCAGGTTCAGAGACGTGAAATCACATCCCCAGGGGTACACAGCTGGTGAGTGGTCAGGTAGGGTCAGGCCTGGCTCACAGAACACCAAAATCCACACTCTTTCCCCATCAGCACCTGGCTGACAGCTGATTAGATAAAAACGGTGCTAGTTCAAACCCCTGGAGTTTACGGCTGTTCTGACTGCAGAATGGGGCAGGGTGGATGGGTGGTCCGCAAACCAGGAAAAGAGGGAAATGGGTTATGGAGGCAAAGCCTTGGCAGCTCCCACCACTGGGTCATTAACTGCAAAGGGCAGACTCTGCAACCCAGACACTGCCCCAGCTCAGACTCAGTTTCTAGTCTGTGAAGCGGAGCTGCTGACCCATGTGAATGAGAACACGTGTCAAGGTCTCAGCACTGGCTTTGACTTTGGGCCATCACTCGAAAGAAGGCAGCTAGTGTTAGGACAGAGCCTCGGGCAGGTCCATAACCTCTGTTCTGGAAGCAAGCAGGGGCCGACGGGAGGGACACACACGCAAGGCCGCAAGTGCAGTCACCTGCTCCAAGCACAGGGAAGCCAAGGGCGCTCTGTGTGCACAGCAAATGCGCCGAATTCTTCGCAGATCCCCTCTGGTCCCTGCAAAGCAGAGGTTTGGTTCCTAGGGCTCTCACAAGGACGCACAGGACAGGACACCACGCTCGAGTCAAGAAAATACGTACAAACAACAGTGAAAATGGAGACCAGTTTTCTGGGGTCTTAGGAAGCTGGTCTCACTGCTCTCCTGGTGGCAGGTCATACTGGTCACAATCCCCTGCCCATCAAAGGGGCCGGAGGGATGCTAGCCCACAGCAGATCTGGACAGGCCTTCCAGAAGCCCCAGCCCTGCCCTCACCCTCACACCTGGCAGGGGCTGCATCTGGAGATCTGATAAGCTCACACACTTGGAATGCATGGAATTCCTACTCAACTTCCTGGGAACTGGAATTCCACCCAAGGCAGTGGAGGAAGGACTGAGGCCACTGTTCCTTAAAAGCCACTTTGTCCCATCAGTTTTCCCACCTGTGTCCTCAGCTGAATACAGGGTGAACTGGCATTCCAGAAGCCCTGCACCCCCACAGACTGGCCAAGGGCTTCTGGGCCACTGGAGACTGACAGCCCTGAACCGCACGCCAGCCGGCAGGTCAGCCTCCGTGCTCAACATATTCAACCAACACTGGTGGGTGCCTGCTCCATTCCACACTGAGCTGGGCACACAGCCACCCAGGGCTCAGGAGACCAGAGGAGGTTACGATCGACAGGGAACAAAACCTGAGGTCCACACCCCCTAATTTTTGGACCTTTTTAACTTTTTATTTTGAAACAATATAGAAGCACAGCAACATCTGCAAAAGCGGCAGAGAGAATCCTGTGCACCCTTCCCCCAGGCCCCCAAGTGGTGACCACATCTTCTGCGACGGAGGCCAGTATCAAAGCTACGACACTGACATCGGGACAGGACCACAAACTAGACTACAGGACTCATCTGGACCCCCAGCTTTAAACCCCAAAGTCCTACTTCACAGGCTGTCAGGAAGCGGTAGGCAAACTCATGGACTCACGTCTATGAAAGGCATGCTGGCGGCTGGCCAGCGAAGCCCTCCGTCCCCAACAAGGACTCTGTTCCCAAGACCCCCATCTCTGCCTGCACCTCACATCTGCCCTTTTCTCCCCGTGCTTTGGCCGAGCAGACCAGGGACTTCTGGGGCTGCTCTGGTTTTGAAAAGGCTGCCTGCAGTAAGCGGACAGAAATAGAAAGCATGTGCCTTTAGGTTTCAGGAGGGAGGGAGGTGCTCTGGAGGCAGGAGGAATAGCTGCAGCGCTAAGCCCCAACGGAAACCAAGTGCGAGGTTCCCAGGAAAGGCGGGCAGATCCACCTGGGTGCGGGGCGGGCAGTTTTCCAGAGTACAGCTCAGAAACTACAGACCACGGGCTTCTGGGAAAGGGGGCTTTCTATGTCCGAAAAAATATGCCTGTATGAGCAGAGTAATTCTTCAACACAACGTCCACCGGTTACGTGGGTCGGAGCCCCTCTGTCCATGTGGTGACCTTCTCCTCTGCGCCACTCGACATCTCTCAGGGATCCCTCCCCAACAAGTGCGGGAGAGGCCACACTGTGGCACAGAAGCCCCGATGAGGAAGGCACCAAAGGGTGGGGTGACAGTTGATTTGATGTGTCCACTTGGCTAGGCCCAGTACCCAGCTGTTGGGTCAGTATCTCTTTTTTGGGGGGAGGGGGTAGTTAGGTTTATTTATTTATTTATTTTTAGAGGAGGTACTAGGGATTGAAGCCAGAACCTTGTGCATGCTAAGCATGCGCTCCACCATTGAGCTATGCCCTCCCCCAAGCTGTTGGGTCAAACACCAGTCTAGATGTCACTGTGAAGGTATTTTTCAGGTGTGATTTGACGTGGAGATCATCAGACTTTGAGTGAAGCAGATGACTCACTACCATGTGGGTGGGCCACATCTAATCAGTTGAAGGCCTTAAGACAGAGGTCCCTCAAGGAGAAAGGAGTTCTGCCTCCAGAATGTCTTTGGGCTCAAGCTGCAACATCAACTCTTCCCTGAGCCTGCAGCCCACTGACCTGTCCAACAGACTGCAGACCTGCCAGCCCCATGACTGTGTGAGCTAATGCCTTAAAATACCTCAACCTGCCCCCCAACACACACACACCTCTAGTGGTTCTGTTTCCCTGGAGAACCCCAACTAACACAGGTGGTTTGGGTGCCTCATTGCCAAGGGACTCCCCTCAATGTGACCATCGCTACTGGCAGCCCATCTGGGTCGGCAGGGTCTTCTGGTTGTGCAGTCAGGGTGATGCCAACTCTAGGGGACCTGATTCTCCTCCTTTCTTCCTCCAAACTCCACTTGCTACCCTTCTCAAACCAGTCCCTTTCTGGGAACCTCAATTTAAGACATCCCAGAAGGCAGAGAGCGGTATCAAACGGAAGAGTTGTGTGAGGCAAGCCCGCATTGCCACATTCTAACTAGAACCCGTGGCTGGGGGCAGGGCTTCCGGGCCCAGAAGCCAATCAGACACCAGAGGCCTGCACCTTTCAACCCTCTCTCCCATTTTCACAGGACCTGCCCCCACCACTCACACCATGCGCGGCCCTGCCGGCCACCTCTTACCTTTCTTGCCATGATGAGGCCCGAAGGTCTGTGCTGGACCTTGGTGACCACCCCACCGTTCCCGGCTCCCAGCTCTGAGATCCTTTCAAAGTCATCATCCTTGAGCTCCCCAACCTTGGCCTTCTGTGTGAGGAAGGCTTCCAGCCGCTTCTTCTGTTGCTCGTCGAGTTCCAGCTCCTCCAGCTTCTTCTGGAGGTCCACCAAGTTTGCTCTGCAGAGACCCCAAGGGCACGGGTTAGCCAAGAGCGTGCAAGCCACCCAGAGATGATTCAGGCTGAGCCGAGTTTACCGCGTGGCCACTTCACGCCAGGTCCCGGGCTTGTAGCTGGGAGGTGAATGAGACCTGATTCCTGTGCTCAAGGGCCCTGTGATCTAGCAAGAAAAAAAAGACCACCCACAGACACAGCCAAACTCCCCGAGAACTGGGGACACTGCTCCTCTCCCCACTCATAAAGGTTAGGAGGTCTCAGGACTTAAAGGACCAGCTCTAGTCTGACAGCCCTGGTTTCAGACCCAGGAGCCCTCCTTCCTGACACAAGGGCTCCAGACCACAGGAGAAGGAGACGAGGGGATGCGGGAGACAAGCCCCAGGGGTGGGGGTGAAGACAGGACACCTGTCTTTCACGAGGATGGAGGCGCAGACTCATCTTGAGTGGCCTCAGAGCAAAGAACTAGAAACCAGCAGGCGGATGACAGAAGCCACAGCATACATGCTTCTAATTTACGTGAGTTACACACAGGCACTGGAGGGAGAGAGGAGAGAGGCCCAACTTAAACAGCGAGGACCACTCCAGGGCATTCTGTTCAACCAGCATGCTCTTATTACATCCTGAGCGTTGCTGTAAACATTAGGCATTTCTACGCACCCATATTCCCAGACCTGGTTATTAAAAGCCAGCCACGTACACTGCACTGTATTGGGTAACTCAAGGAACTTTCAAAGGAAATTTTGACAGTAAGCTATTTTCACCAGTGCCTTGACTTTGAACCAACTCCTGGAGTAAAAAGCAGTTCTTTATAAGATGCTAGCTTAGAGCACACAAGGACTACCTTAGTGCAGCCACAAAGAAATAGAACATAAGCCATGTGTGCAACTTAAAACATTTCTAGCCATGTTAAAAAAAATGTGTCAGGTGAAATTAATCCGTCTGGAATGCATAGTGTACTTACAGCTCCCCCGAATCTGGACAAGCTACATTTCAAGTGCTGGCTACGGCCAGGGGCTGCTGGACCAGACAGTGAGTGCAGCTCTAAGAAAAGTCTCTAAAGGAGAATGGGCCACCTCCGGTGGTCCTCAGCCACTGTGCCTCAGGGCACGTAAGCCAAGGTTGATGGCCCACCTGGGGGAGACCTCGTGGGGGGATTTGGGCAGGGGATGAAGGGGAAAGAGTGGAGTTCTTGCAGAAATCTTCCAATCCCCAAGTTCAACCATGACTTCCTGCAACTTACAGAGGCATGAACAGAAGGGCACACAGGAGCAAGATGACATGCCGCTGGGTGATCTGACCTGAGCTGGTACCACGAAGAGGTCGCTGGGAGTGGGGGCTAGGGGCCACTTCCTGAGCAGGTACTAGAGCTTTGACCATTTTGTTTAATTCTCATGACCCACCTGGGAGGCAGCTCTCTGGGAGACCCAGCCCACACAGGAGGGAAAAGGCTCAGAGGTTAAGTAACTTGCCTGAGGGTCACAAGGCAAGGAAGTGGCAGAGGTGGGAATCACACCTGTGTTGTTCCTGCCCACAAAGCCTGTGCTTGTGGTAGTGACCCCTTGAGCCAGGACAAGGGCCTAGCAGGTGCTCACTGAATGCCTGGTGAACACAGACCTGGATGAAGAGGGAACGAGGACCCAGATGGACAGAGGAGGGAAGGCCAAAGAATGAGCATATGTGCCACCACTCCCTCACCGTAGGGCTGAAGAGATAGCATTTGCGGCCAGACCCTGGAAGGTCTCCGGCACTGGCCTCTGACATCTAAAATGCATTCTGGAGTCAGCTGATTAATCCATTTTTAATTTATTGGCAACTCAATGGCGGTTATAAAGAAAAAACCCTGGAATTCCAATGGCTAGCTTCCTCTACAGGGGGAATTTCTTGAAGGGATGGGAATCAGAAATCACGTAAAAGAACAAGAATATGACAACGGAGCTCTCTTGTAAGATTAAGTGCATTTTTTGAGATTAAGGAACACATCCCCAGACGGATCTGTGCCCTCGGGGACAGAGAAGGATGTTAACTCACACACACATGCATCAAGTCTGGCTGCCTCCATCTGGTGGCAGAAGGCCAAGCCCCCTGAGAGGCACCAAACGTGCCATTCGCCCCTCATACCTGGGTCTCACGGGTCACAGCACAAGCACAGCACCCGGACCTGGGCCAGGGGCCCCCACCCGTGCCCCCTGCTCCTTCCTCGGACCCCTTCCCTCAAGTCCTCTTGTCACCCTCAATCACCTCAAACCACCTGCACTTCTCCAGCTGCTGGAGGCTTTGCTAATTCATTCGATTCAGAACCTCTGCTCATCTGCTGTCAGGGGTTCCAGGAGGCCCTGGACTTCTTTCCTGCATGGCTCCCAGTTCTCCCCACACCCCGAACTGTCAAAATCCCCCTTACTCCTTGCCTCCTCTGGGCCTCCTCACCACTCTCCCCAGGCTCAGGGGCTCCACCCTCTAACCCCTAGGATAGCAGGATCTTCTTAGGTGCCCCTCCCCCCAGATTTCCTCAGAGACCTCCTACTCCTGAGGAATCCCTCCCTCATCCTCGTCTAGCAGGCACCCCTTTCCCTTTTCCTGGACCTCCTCACCCCATGTTCACTCCCAGGGACCCCTCCTCACCCCATCCTTCCCTCTCAGGAACCCCATTTGCCCTGTCTTGGCATGCAAGGAACCCCCTCCCTCCACATCACTACTCAGGGACTCCCACCTTCACTCCGATTTCACTACTAGGGGCCCTTGACCCATCCTCACCTCTCAGGAACTCTCCCACCATCACCATGGCTTCACTATTTAGGGCCCCACACTCCCGTCTTTTCTCCACCAAGGACCGATTCACCACTCAGAGACCCCCATTCCATCTTCTCCCATCAAGAACCCTCTCCCAGCCCGACTGCACCACTCAGGGACCCATTCCCCCCAGTCTCGATATTCAGAGCCCTTCATCCCTCCTCTCCTCGCAGGGATCCCTCCCCAGACTTTGCTACCCAGGGTCCTCTCTACCCGCCTCTCCTCTCCGGGACTCCCTTTCTCGATCTCGCTACTCAGGGCCCCTTCACTCGC